TTTTTTTAAAAAAAGATGAAAACTAATACAAACTAATATAAAAGGAGAAAAAGGAGAAAAGAAATCAAGGAGAAAGCTAAAAATGCAAAAAGGAGAAAAAAAGTAAAACAAAAATAGAAAAGAAAGAAAAAAGATACAAGGAAGTAGCTTCTGATCTTCTTTACAGCAGTTTTGAGTACAATTATACATTTTCTCTCAAGTTACACTGTGACTCTCTTCTTTCTGTAATCTAACCTAAAGTAAGAGAAGATTATACATTTGGTTATTCTTCCATGCAGAACCGAATTTTAAAATTAAAATTGTGATAGACATACAGGCATACAAGTTTGATAATAAAATAAAAAATAAAATAAAAATAAATATTGTACTGTGTTATTGTATTATTCTGTTATTTTTGTGTTGTTTTCTTTTACTTCTCTTAGTTTTTAATCTTAATTTTGATGCCCAGAGTTGCAACTGAACAGATTGGCGCTGTATAAATCAACATAATAAGTAAAAGGAATGAAGCAATGTTGCATAAATCCAGTCCATAAGCTTTTCCTACAAAAATTAAGGCTTGAATTTCACAATAACTTGAGATTAATACTTATATTGACCACCAGGAGGCAGTACACAACTGGTCACTCACTGCCTCCTGGTGTTCAATATAAGTAAAAATACTAGGAAGGCTATACTCTGCATAAAAAAAAAGAGAAAATGTCCCAAGAAGGGGAGTGGCAGTCATACAAAACCTTGTAAATTAGGGCATGATATATGTAATATCCGTATCTCTGGTCCAAGAGTTTCCGAAAAGGAAGTTGGATTATTGACAGCCCATTAGGTTCACCAGACCAGGAAATCAACCCCATAGGAACACTGAAAATATTTGCCTGTAGATTTTCATCAAGTTCGTCTTCCTGACTTTCTGCACCTGAATATTCCATTCTAAAGTCTGAGCGCTTAATGTTTTAACCAAGCAAATCAATGTTCAGTGGCTGGGCTGTGATTGCTTTTCCTTTAGAAAATTGCAATAGACACCAGTTCAAGTGAACTTCTCATGGAACCCCATCAAGTCGATGCCAGGAATCCATAACCAAGTTACCACATTTGAATCCCCAACATTCAGTCTTACTGTTGCATTGGAAACACATCTGGAGACTTATAACATTACGTTCAGAAGTTTGGATGGTACCACTTATGTGAAGTTCATGTTTTAATATTAAGATAGCTTGGGGTCATTGAACATTAGAAGCAAGCATTATGTTTCTTTCGGTTTTCCCTCAAACTACGACCTCTGCTTGACCCAACCTTGCCTTCTCTCCTGGTTAGTTGAGGAAGAACATGTTCACCAGGAAAGTTTGGCAGGTGGTAACTTGATTTGGGGTGAGCTGTCCCTTGCCTCATTCCACAAACAGAGGGAGATCGGTTTCCCCAGATCTTTGAACAACGTGGGTTGTGACATCTTGACATGGTTTGTTAGGCCCACCTAATTTGCTGTGGTTTCACCATCTACAATGCTTTTGGATATAAGCTTCTTGCTCTCTTATTCAACCATTCTCATTTTTATTAGTCTTCTGTCAATTTGGGGGATAGCCAAGAATCTGTAGTGGAAAGAGGGAATGGCCTTGAGGGACAGGAGGAAGAGCTGCTACCAAAACAATGGTAAGATATAAGAAACCCGAGTCCAGGCCAGAACTGTAACCTGAGAAAACGTCTCAGACAAGACCCTGCCTAGTTCCCATGAAGATAAAGGGAGGGAGGGTGGAAGTGCATTCAGACTTGCAAGACTCTGTTACTATATCTTTACTATAAAAGTAATATTGGCCTGCATGACTTTTGTTTCCTAGTCTGGTCTACCTTGAAGGGCTGACAGAATCTTATTTACCCATAGACAGCTTCCTTGCAACCATGGCTTGGGGAACTTCAGGCGGAAAAGCCTAATCCACTTTGGCCCATAAAGCTCTCCTCTCCAACCATCCCTATGGAAAAATGAACAAGAAAATTTTACATGTGACTATCAAGGTCGCAGTTTTTTCTCAACAGCAGTCTGACTGCAGGTGTACCGCTTGGGCACGTAGACAGTGGCAGAGAAAAGAAAAAAAAGTTTAAACTCCTTAGAATTGCCTGCAGACAGCCATATTGGTTTCAAAAGAAAGCAGTGTAAAAAAAAGTCAGAGCAAGTAGACCAAAGAGGGGGAGTTTCTTCCAGGTTTTCCAGGAGCTGCTGCTGGAGCGAGAGATGATCAGATGTGGAGCAGAGGAGGCAGAGGCTAGGAACAATCACCAACATGAAATAAGAACCTACAGAGAGGAAATGCAGCCTAGGACTTTAGAGGGTGGCAGAGCAAACTCCACGTGGCACAGGTGCTGGGTAACTGGGCACAAATCTGTTAAGGAGATATTTTCTTAGCGTCCTTAAGTCTGTTCTGAAGATAAGCACGTATGGGAGGAGGCAGAAACTAACAGCTAGGCCTTTGTCTTATAAACTAAAGAGTAGAAATTTAAGTCAGTTAGTTAGGTTTTGTTAGTGTCTTGGGTTTTGTGTATGTGTGTGTGTGTGCCTTCTTAACTTCTGGAGACTGCCTAGACTAGTCTCCGGGGTTTTCTTGGCAAGATTTTCAGCTGTGGTTTGCCCTTGCCTTCTTCGTCCTCCTGGGGCTGAGAGAGGGACTGGCCCAAGGTCACCCAGCTGGCTTCGTGCCCAAGGGAGGAGTAGAACTCAAGGTCTCCTGTGTTCTAGCCTGGTTGCCTTAACCACTACACCAGACTGGCTCTCAGCATACTGTATAGTTAGAGGTATTAGCGTACATATTTACACTTGGTCCCTAGAGATAGTTTACATATCTACGTGTATGTGGTTAAGGCACCAGGCTAGAAGCAGGGAGACTGTCACGTCTTAAAGTTGCCAAGGTTGACAAACACTGTTCTGTGTACTTAAAAGGGGGAATATGGAGAACTGGAGAAGGAGACGCAACCAGTCAATTATTATAATTATAAGTGGCTCAACTTTCTCAGGGAGAATAGAAGAAAGTGTTTTGGAAAGCAGCACGTTAATCAGCTGCCCCTGGCAACTTTGAAAGCTGTCGGAGCCCCCAGGGATTGCTTGAAGCACCAGCGTCTTCGTTTCAGTCATTGTATTATATTATCATTACTGCAGATGTTGATGGGAATTATTTCAGTCCAAGTCTCCCCCAGAGAATGTCAGTATGAGCGCACCGAGTTCACATCCATACCACAGATGCAGAATGAGGATAATTCCTATTTTTAAAGGCCTCAAAACACCTGATCAGTGCCTGCTTAACTCCTGCGGCTTCTGTGAAGAGGCCCCGGGAATGGAGCTGTGCAATCAAGTTGACAGCATCATGAGAAATATAGTGGTGGATCTCCCCAAGGTCTTCTCCAGGCTGGCATTCTGGCATTCCCCTTGGGGCCAATCAGAACTGACTGGGAAATCAATACAGAGGATGCTCAACAGCGCCTCCTACTGATGTTCTCCAGCAACTGCACCGAGAAGCATGCTGTTCCTGGTGCTGGGGATAAAATACAACCATCATATACAGAAAGAACTGTTGGATTTGTCTCACTGGGGTTGCATGCCATCCCTAAAAGAGTTGGGGCATTCCTCAAGGGGCCTCCAAAAGTTGCTGCTGAATTGTAATTATTAAATTAAATTAGGTTAGATTAAGTTAAATTAAATTAGATTAAATTAAATTGTTTATCCTGCTCTTGCTGCTTTTTGGAGTGCATCCTCCATTACTAAAAAAAAAAGTTTGGTTTTAGCCCAGGCTGTAGACCCAGCCATTGTGGTATATTCAGCATGGTTTGTGGTTCTGAATGTTGAGCCCAGCCAGTTGTGGTGTATTCAATAAACAATTAGGTAAATCCTGGCTGAAAGTGTTGTGTGAACCAGGGTGTGAGTTCAACAGTCTTGCTTCAATTTCCCAACAATGAATATTAAGGTGCATGTTCCATTTAATCCTTCAAGTCTCACATACCCATCATGGCTAATACTCATCAGTGTTAATAAAGGCTTACTAGACTGAAATTGAAAATCTGCAGTTTTGAGTCTAGTATTTTATTTATGAGATTTGTCTACCATCTTGTTTAGCAGCTTACAGAGCTCAGATATAAATATATATATCATAATTAGAATAACAACTCCAGTCTAATTGGGGATTAAATTAAATAGTAAAAGTAATCAGCTCTAATGGAATGTGGGAAAGACCTCGGGAGACAGGGCAAAGAGCTGTTGCCTAGCAAATGGTCAGATAAGAGGCGGCACAGCCTGCAGCTGGATAGTAGATGGGGCAAGAGGCTCAGAAGGGACTCTCCCTAGTTTCTCAGGCTGTAAAGGAGATGGGAGGAGAACTGTACTTTTAGACTTACATGATTCTATCAACATAGCCTTACAATGAAGTGGAATTAGCTTATCTGATCGTGATCCCTATCTGGCTTACCCAATGTAGCCAACATCAGCTAAAATTTATTTGACAGAATTTGGCCCTGCTGGTTGCAGTTAATCCCCAAAGGCCTTCTGCAACAACCATGTTTTTATCTTTTTCTGGAAGTCCACAAGAGTAGGGAACACTCCTTGCCTCAGGGGACAAAAACTGTCCCAGAGGAGGGAAGCTGTGATAGAACAGCTACCATTGGACCCTCTCTTCCTGTACCTTCTGGTAGATAGAGACCCATAGCAGGTGCTCCCTTTCAGATAGAATAAACATTTGGGGAAAGGCAGTCCCTATGATATCCAGTCTTGGGCCATAGTAGCAACCATACACTAAGCCCTGATTCCTACAACCTACTGAGCCAGCATATGGTTTAATTGTTTGGGTGAACCCCATTAGCATTTGCAATAAATTGGGATTTATGGCTTAAGGTTATATCAGAACCTAGACAATTGTGGCTTAGTCAGAAAACTATGGTTAACAAAAACATGGTTCAGTGCAAGGTATGAACGTGGAGTAACACTGCAATACTTCACTTGTCTACTCAAAAGTAACTCCCATTGAGTTTAGCATCTTCCCCCAGTCAGGTGGCCCTCCAGCTGTGTTGAGGCCAAAACTCTCAGAGCTAACATGACCATGTGCCTTGCTGGTTGGGAAGTTGGGAAACGGTTGTCCCAGTACATCTGGAAGTCCAGCAGGTTGGAAAAATCCTTAGGAAAGAGCTCCACATTAAGGACCACAATCCTGAGAATAAATGCCAGGGAATAAGTGGGACTTGCCTGTGGCTAGCTTGGCTTAATGTACTGCACCACTAGCCAACCCCATTTTAGCCTAGCATGTTGTACAGAGCAAGCCAGCATGGCTAATTTAGTTTTCAGTGCAAACTCAGACAACTGAATTAATGCTGACAACCTGATTTAAATGAAGGATAGATACATGTATCGTGCAAAGACAGTCACTGAGAAGTTCCTGCTCAAAAATATCACTAAAAAACTTGTGGGTCATGTCCATTTTTTTTTAATGGTTTCTCTTCCTTGTTCTAGACTTGACTTGTATCTGTCCTTGTTTGCAAATGACATAAGTCATCAAAGTGAGAAGTAGCATGAGTTTAGTTTACAAGGGTCAGCCCATTTTCTTCTGATTGTCTATGGACTTGCACCTCATTGGCTGGGAAAAGGCAATGCCCCTTCAAGCCAATATTAAACATTTAGACAGTGCACACCTTGGCCACTCTTGCACTCTGCCTGGAGCTGAATCATCACAGTGCCTTTTGTAAGTTGTCTTTAACTGGGCAATATACTGCTGGGTATAGTAGACCTTTGAGTATTTAATAACCTTTCCCTCCCTTTTTATGTTTATATAATGATAAGATAGATTGCATGCATTCGATATTATGCAAGGAGACCTAGACATCTTGGGTCCTTGAGACAAAGTTGCATGATTCTTTGGGTTGCTGGGGTATAGAAAATGATAGCTTTTTGAAGTTCATTCTAATAATTTACTTTTGGACTATGGGCAGTATAATGCTTTATTTTTGGACAATGTGGTGGTAAAATATCCTCCATTAAATAGCTAAAAATCCTACCGAGGAAATAAAAATAGGGAAAAATTGCTACTCTCTTAGTTATTTGTGTATTTGGGGGGCAGGGCTCTTTAAGGATAATGTAATAAGCCAGGTTTATTTTAACCAGGTTTGATGACTAAGCTAGAGTTGGCTTATCCATAATGTTAAAATAAAAATCATGGTTTCCAAACCACAGTAGCCTGGTTCACAGATCCATCTATGCCATAAGGTAATGTGCTTCTTCTTGATGTATATACAGGGTGAACCAAAGGTCAGGCTCCATAGGCCAATCTTAATATGTTTTATTAATTAATATTTTTTTCATACAAAATGTTCCTGTACAGTACTTAGGATGATGCATGACACTTGAACATTCCTAATATGAGTTAGGAAGTGTTTAGAAGAAAATGGCAACCAATTCCAATATGTAACGAATTTATATAATAAATTATCTATGGGGCCTGACTTTTGGTCCACCCCATACAGGTAGTCCCTGGGTTAAGAATGCCTGGTTTACAGACAACCCATAGTTAAGAACAGAGCGAGCCTATTGTAGCAAAATTTGAGTTAAATACACAATGATTTGAGTTAAATACACAATGGTTTGAGTTCATTATGCAATACTACTTACACAGTATTATACAATAATACTGTTCCAGCTTCCATTCAAATTCGACTTAAGGACAGACCTTGGGAACGGAACTTGTTCTTAAACTGGTGACTACCTGTATATGACTTTGTACGGTGTTATGACTAAGCATTTAGTATTTGTCAGCTATTATGAACAAGAATTGGAGTGTCATACTAGCCATGTATTATCTACAATTTTTATTGTGATCAATAATCCATACACAATAAGATATAAAAGCATATAAAACCCAATAACAATATGGTAATCACGGATATTTGATGATGTGTCCAAACTGCTGCCACGGAAAATTATCACAATATTGGTGATATTGTCTTTGGAATCAGAAAGTAACAACTTTGTATACTAAAGATTTGTCTATCCAGGGTGTTGTTGCAAGGTGGGTGAAGTGAATAAGTTCCATAGAGCTCTATAAAAATGACAGTACATGAGCAATGGTCTTGATTTCTCCTGAAACAGGTGGACAAGGGTTTTTTGAGTATCTGCCCAGCAAGAAACCAGATGTTAGTTCTATACCAAAATCTAGGGCCACCATTGTTGATCTGCAAAGCCAGACTTTCTTTCACATGGCTGAGGTGTCTGTCATGAAAGAACAGTGAACTGTTCATTCATTGTTGGAATAACTGAGTCAGTGGCTGACTCCCTCTGCCAGCCTTGGATACTATGGACTTTGAGATGACTGTGGTGCTGATTGTCTCATCTCCCTCAGCCCACAAAAGTCCTGACCAAGCCTTGTCTCCCCACCCAAATTTACTCTTGCACGTAAGATGAGTTCCCTCAGTTCACGGATGCTTTTCTAGGTCATTAGCTCATGCCTGGCATGTGCCTCCTGGTTGGAAGGACTGAAGGTTGTTCATGCCAAGGGCAACCTTATCTGAAGATGGATATTTAAGGCTTCTGAAAGATAGGGCTCTAACTAGGACTCCCAGAACTGGGTTGTAAAATTCTACATGGACAATAGGTGGCAGCAAAGAGTAACAGCTACCTAGTGATCATCTGGTAGCCCTATGCAAGTGTAATTTTGGTGACATGTAAGTGACTCTAGCATTCTGTTCAGAGTTAGTCGTTCTTATGTCTAGTGCTTGTGCAGGACTGTTTTGGCATATATTAACTAACTTGGCCTTGGGTGGACTTGGGGACTAGCTCTGAATTGCAGGCTATAACAATAGCTCCAAAGACCAAGATGAGCTAAGCATTTCTGGAAACAAAGTCTCTTGTGTGAAAAACCTTGCTGATGATCAAAGGACCTCCAACAAGGTGCTTGTTTTTACTTATTAACCATTTGGAGATAAGGCTTATTACAAAGTCCAAAGAGAAGCTGGAATTTCACTCCTCAAATTTCAAATTAATCCAATTGACACATTCACAAATATTATAGATTTCCTTGGTTGGGCTTAATGCTGATGCATGAATTCAGTTAATTATGAGGTAATCAGTAAATCATGGGTAACCAAACACGTTTAGTACTTCACATATGTATAATAGTACAGGCTTCACACATTATACAGATGTAAAGTACATTATACACATGTACAGTAGTACAGGCTTCACACATTATACTAAGCTATGAATTGTTGAATAGGTCTTAAAAGATGGGATTCACATATTCAGTGACCTATTGAAGAAACTGCAATTAGCTGGAAAGTTAACATGGGCTATTCACTTTCATTAATGCCCTTCAGGTCCTATGTGTCTGAGGGTGGGGCAAGGGTCATTGCACCATGATGACATCATGATACACAGGACATGATTTTGATGTCATTGTGGGATCTACCAGAATTTATGGTCCAGATCTGTGAGTAATACTCCAATTCCTTGACATTTTCTGCAACAAATTCTGGGTGGAGAGGTCCCAACGCACCTGAAGACATGCAGGGGATTTCTTGGTAGGCCATTCATAGTGGAGAATGTTTCCTATCCCATTGGGTGTGTAGGGAAATGAGATTATATATGTCTTTTGGTCCTGGAAGCCATGGATATCACAATACAAATACTTGTTTGTTTCTCTTTCAGAACATGAAAATCTCCAACTTGTCAGTGAAGCCTGGTGACTGCATCAGACTGAAGGCGAAAATACATTCAGGGGCCAAAAGGTCTGTATGGTTAATTGGATTTAGGCAGGACTGAAAATTACATTAGATCTATTTTGGCTTTGGGCAGACTTCAAAGCCTTCCCTTTCCACTTCTGCTGCTCATATGAAAAATTATTTTCAACTAATGCAGCTTTTTCTAAGATCCTCAGATTTGCCCAAAGTCATTTTGGTCTTGCAAATCCCAGCACGCATGGAGGAAATGTGGTTGGGGTGAACTGATAAAGTGACTGGGTTCACACACTATGCTGTGGGTGAATAAACCACAATATCAACTCACTGGTTGATATTCAGCAGGAAGTTACCCCCTGAATTAATTCTGGCCCCACTGCCAACCCACTGCAATACAGACTGGAATTTCTGAAGTTAGAAACAGCCAGAATTGCTCTTGGAAGGTTCAGCAGGAGCAACCCTCACTTTCTGCTTGTCTGGTTACGAAGACTTGGATTCAGCAAGAGTAACAGGGTAACAATATTCATGACTAAGGTTGAACTTTTCCATCTACCCACCATTTTTCAGCTATAGTAAGTTTCTCTTGCATTCAAATCAGTGGTTCTTCTTCTTCAACCCAGACATCGCCAACTCATGGTCTGCAGACTCCACATTGCATTCAGCCCCATTTCTCTGCCCCCCGGGTCCTCTAAGGGCAGATCCAGACATTCTGCTCTGCCCGTCACCAGTATGCCCCCTCCTGAGTGCAGAAAAAGACGATGTTGTCCTTCTCCCACCCCCAACCCACTGCAATCGAAGCCCCCCCCCCAGCTGTATTTTCTAGCTCTGATTCAAAATTGGGGCTTTCCAACCTGAGCCATCTTAAGACTTTCAGGATGAATAGCCTCCAGCACTTCCTTTTGACTGCGTTACAGTCACAGCTGCAATTGGCTGCAGGGCTTGGCAGGTCCCCTCCCCTCCAGTAGCTAGCTGCTGAGTAGCCATGTTGTGCTGGGCTGCTCTGTTCTCCAATGTCCTTAAAAAATCTTGCAGTTAGGCCATCAATGCCCATTAAATCAATGAACTTTCCCTGACCAATGATTTCCCATCCTCTCTAAAAGCCCCTCGCTCTGCTCAACCCTCAGCATCTCCAGTGGATTATCTTTCAGTTTTGGCCCAGAACCTTGGTCCCCTTCCTCTTCCTTTCCTTGCCCTCTGCATGCAATATTTTCCCTTGGTTTTGTCATTAAAAGAAGTTGATGCAACGTAGACTTGATGCTTCAAAGCTTTGTAAGCAAAGTCTTCCTAAATCCAGTGACACCTTGGTGGTGAAACACTTGGGTCTGCTGCAGTGAAGCTATAATGCTTCAAAAGGGGAGAAATGAAAAGAAAATTAAGAGGATTATATCAGGGACAAGTGAGAGAATGCAGGAAGGAAGACAAGCAGGGTACTCATCAGGGAACTACAATGGACCTGGTGAGAAGGGAACACTTCGTAGAAGGAAAAACAGACACTGGTAGACCAGTTCGTCCAGGAGTCAGCCTCAGGTTTTGCCTTCCCTGCATGGATGGGAAGGCCATGAAGCAAGGGAACAAACAGTCAAGACTTGTGGTGGCCAAAGTCCAGACTGAGCACCAGCCCAAGCACCAGACTAGCCTTGTTGTCAAACCACTACAAAGGGGACTACAATTTCTGAAGTTGGATTAAGAAGCTTGTGCTTAATGTGTCTCCCTTCCCTTTGTTAGTTTTGCCATCAACTTAGGTCAGGATGAATCTAATCTGGCCATTCACTTCAATGTTCGCTTCGAAGCCGTTGGAGATGTCAAGAAGATTGTGTGTAATTCCAGAACGAATGGTGATTGGGGTACGGAGATGCGGCCATCACTGTTCCCGTTCCACGAAGGAGCTGAAACTAAGGTCAGGAGGAGCATTAAGGCACTGAAGTGTCAGTTCCAAAATTTGGGATCTCTTTAAAAGATGCTGCTGAGTGTTAAACATGGTCCTTTCTCTGAAGTTGCATCTGATCTTCTTGGCTGCCCCATGTGAAATGCCATTGCGGGCACCAGGTTGGAAACCTTAAAAACGGTAGCTGCTGCTACCACGTCATTTTCTTTGTCACTTTTTTCTAGGGAGTAGTGAGGACTTTCATGTTGGATTCACTACTCTAGGTTAAAATGAACTTGAATAGATTGTGGTTCAGCATTAAGTGGGAACCAGTCATTGACTTACCTTATTTTTCCATCTATAAGACGCCCCCATGTATAAGACACCCCCCACTTTTCCAACCCCAAATTAAGAAATCAATATTTTAAAGATAAAGCAGAACACAT